AATACTCTTTAGTGATTGCAACTCATACAGAACCAAATATCAGCACAGCCGAGTGCACACCTCACAAGTCATACGAGGGTTGCTATACTCAGAATGTGAGGATGCAACTCAGTCGATGTCGCTGAAGGGCAATGATTTACGAAGACGGCAAATGTGACTTACAGCATCAGCAGCAGCAGCAGCAGTAGCAGTAGCAGCAACACAGCGCTGATCGTTTACGAGCTGCTTTTGATGTTGATGCATCTATACGAGAAGCACCGTGTTCCCAAATGCCAAGCGCATGATGCGTGGAATACGATATGAGTCACAAACAGCTGCAGTGATCAAAGGGTTACCCGCTTCACCATGGTCGAGCTGTTTCACCAAATGATTTGAGAGCATGGAACCGTACATGAACGCTGGAGGAGAATACTTCGATAAAATGTAAAGCTTATTTTTGTGTGACAACTAAAACTTCCTATGCAACCGGAAACCAAAGGAGCATAAAACCGTGATTGTGCCCGGTGGCCGAGTAGGTATCACGCTCACATTCTGCCCATGATGTCCCGAGTTTGATCCCCAGTCGGATCGACGGATTCGCACTGCTGAAGAGACACAGCCAAGTCGAAACAGCTGTCCAGTGCTTCCTTGCTTTTCAGTTCATGCTGGGTTTGTCATATACATGAAAAACACAAAACTTCAATGAACGAATTGACATGGAAAAGCTTACTACACGAGTTACCAATGGACAATCGTTCAGAAATTTATGTTCAGCTGACCGGAAACGAGGAGAATTGTGATTACCGCATACGCCAACGCGACGTGCTTCTCCGATCAACGCGAGGGATGATATTCGGGTATCTGATTGGACTGAGAACCGAAACATGCAGAACGTTTTGTGTAAATTTGACACAGTTGTACAATTCTATATTGCCCCGATCGAGCGGGAAATACAAAACTATACGCCCATGTCGTCGTCCAATACATTCACAAACACATGTGACAGTTTTCCTGGTTATTTGGTTTCAGATGGGACTGTGACGGACCCGAACGGGTATAGACAAATCCGTTTTTTTTTCAACTAGAGGGGCGTTGGACGATTGCGGGCGGAGTTTTCGTGCGCTGTCAATCTGTCATTCACATTCGTCGTAAACCATAGCAGCTCGTTTTGATCGGTGTTAAATACCGACATCAGTGTACGGGATATCCGCCCTGATGGTGATGGCTTTAACCCAGTACTACAAGGCTCTATTGTCCAGTTTGATTAGAACAATCGATTTAACGTCAGGGCTGCATAACTTTGCACCAGTCTCTCTGCCTCGCGCTCAAACACCGCCAGGCATTGTATATAATTATCATTGACTGAGATGGCAAAATCGAACTACTTGAATGAATGATTCCATACTGATACCGCGACTCCAAGCTTCTTCAATGGTCTGTTTGAAGAATCGGTATTGCACTTTAAGCCATTTATTCATGAATGATTTATGTTGTCTTTAACTTCGAACTGTGTGACAGACATACGGAATTAGCTTTTGTATGTTGATTTCTTGAATATCCCTGGGGAGCTATTTGAGGATTAAGCGAGCTTGAGCGCTACCAATTTGATTCGTGCGATGCAGTGGTGGGATATGTGAGTGGCCTAATGCCGAAACAGTTTATGGTTGATTTTGGGTGGATGCAGTAGATTTCATTGGTCTGTACATGAGCAATGTAAAGTGACTGCATTGTTTTTGTTGTTGGTGTTGTTAATGATTGCGCTGCTGTTTCGATAGGATGTAATCAGCGAAGTAAATGTATGACGGCATTGGATTGTATGCGATTATTAATAGCCAAGTGAATTTTGATGAAATAGATTCACATAACCAGATTATTCAGCCAATATATCAAAACATGAGTTAGAGGAAAATTCCAGGAAGCGGGGTTTCTTTTATGTCTATGCACAGTCCATTAATTGTACAGTGGGATAGATAGTTAAGGTATTTAGAGGTTGGTTGAACTAGAAAGTAAGTAATTAACTTTAGTTCCAACACGTGATGGCATTGGATTCTTCCCATAGTTTAAAGTGTTGTAGAGCCTACCGATTCACAGTATACGAATAGGAAATAAACGTCTCATGCATTTACTCTCTCCAGGCAGTCTGATGAACTTCCGTCATCAGCTGAAGAACAAACAAATGCGAAGTGAAAAACGTTCAAGCTCTCGGTAGAGCTGGTCCGAATCGGCGGGTTTCCTGAACGATGCAAATGGTTCCACTGAACTGCAAAGTGAACCCGGCCGGTGCCTCACAGGTAGACTGCAAACTTACTATTCAATCGGTCACCGACGGACAGCTCATCAGACCGTTTCTCATTTTAACCACACACGATACAATGCAACAGAGTAAACAACTGATACGAATGTGGCAGTAGTAGCACGTAAAAAGTAAAATAAACTTGGGAAACAACACTTCGTGCTGTCAGTCTGTACTCACGCCGGATGTGAAGAACGTTGGAATGGGCGAAAGAAAAAAAAAAGATTTATTGGATGGACATTAAAGACAACAACGGCACAAATTGGTTTTGTGTTATGACGTGATTTCTAACCCGCTTAGATTGTTGTTCACAGAAGTGATGGGAGGGCAACCCCCCTCCAGGGGTAAGTAAAACTTAGCCAACTGACCCGACAAGATGTGAACAGATTGCGTTCGTATCGTGTACTATGTCAATGATTAATTAACCAGAAAGGACAAGCTACGGAAAATAAATCATGTTCCCTATGCGGTGCTGTGCTGGTGGTCTAGTGAAACAATTATGATGTTTTGACGATTCCGGTCATAGCCACCGGTCGGCCGTAGTCTGACTCGCAAAGCAGAGAAGAGATGTGTGCGCGCGCAAAAATCGATCAAATGTTGACTGAGATTACCGCGACATGCCACTGCCTAACCAACTAGGTCAGATTGCGAAATAAGGTGGTAAACCAGACTGAAAGAAAAATGCCTTCGGAACATACCAGTTGTGGTTTCCCTCGGTTTCTCGTGTCTCTCCTCAATTTTCCGTAAATTTAAGGGAAATAACTTCCTGGACGATTAGTGAAAACTTGGCGCCACTGTTTCAAACCAGTTCTATGTCTGTAAAAGTGACAGCGTTCTATTTCAGTTATTTGGGATTTGATTGCAAACTCATTCACCCAGCGGTTTTTATTGCACTTCCTCCCGCTCCAGAAAAGCCTGCACTTTTGTGACTGTGATAATAACTGTATTTAATAAAACCCTTGCTATTTAAT